ATTGCAAGGCTGCTAAAGACTGCAGAGGAGAAAAACTTGCAAACCGCCGGACTCATCAACCGTCTGGAGGCGCAACATGGCGTCAAAGTGAAACCAAGCTCTCTTCCAACTAAGAAGACCGAAGAAGGCTTTAACCCAAATGCCTACGAACTCATGTCAAAGGCTAGGCATGACTTTGCTTCCTCTTCAAATCTTGGAAAGAAGGTTTCAAACACCGTCAACGACAAAGATCGTGACCTCACCAAAAGCTCCTCGTTCGCACGAGCCTAAAAGGCGACAACCAACGTTCCTGGTCCGCATGAGCATAAAAGGCGACAACCAACGCTCCTCGTTCGCACGAGCCTAAAAGGCGACAACCAACGCTCCTGGTCCGCATGAGCATAAAAGGCAACAACCAAAGCTCCTCGTTCGCACGAGCCTAAAAGGCGACAACCAAAAGCTCATTGTCTGCACGAGTTGAAACTGCAAACGACACCACAAGCTCCTCGTTCGCACGAGCCTAAAAGGTGACACCAAACACTCCTTGCCTGCACGAGCTGAAACTGCAAACGGCACCAAACGCTCCTTGCCTGCACGAGCTGAAACTGCAAACGGCACCAAAACGCTCCTTGCCTGCACGAGCTGAAACTGCAAACGGCACCAAACGCTCCTTGCCTGCACGAGCTGAAACTGCAAATGGCACCAAAACGCTCATTGCCTGCACGAGCTGAAACTGCAAACGGCACCAAACGCTCCTGGCCCGCAAGAGCATAAACTGTGTACGGCAAAATCATCAAAAAAAAAAAAAAAAAATCATCACTCATTTGAACTACGTCATGACTTGATCCCTCCTCAACCAAGGGTACGTAGGCAACTTGAAACTTCAAAACTTCAAGTACAGTCACATCATCAAAAAATAAAAAATAAAAAATAAAAAAAAGAGGAAATAACACATCTTGGTGATGTATATGTTTTATCTGTATTTAGCACAATACACTAAATAAGTAAAGCATGTTCATTGATCTCCGAGAAATTACAAGTGCGTACAAAAAAAAAAAAAAAAAAAAAAAAAAAAAAAAGAGATGGAGCTTTCATAAAGGTTGTTCACGTGAAGCCCCACTACTTGGGAAAACTACAGAAGCGGGAGGCATCAAAGAAGAGGCCTCAATACTTGGTGGAACGCTAGATGAGCCAGGAAAAAGGTGCCTCTGGAAGAAAGCAGCAAGCCTTTGACGGTCACTTTGACGGTCACTTTGAATTCGACCACTGGATTCTTGCAGCTCATCAAGCTTCCTCTTCATGCCCGTCGAATAGTTATTTGCAAGCACATGCAAACTTCTATTCTCGTGCTTAAGCTGTTTGATCTCTTGCTTAAGAGTTTCCACCTCCGCCATCAATGATTCCACTTGGCGGGATCGAGCAAGTAGGCGTTGGCCCATGTTGGACACAGAGCCTGCGCACTGAACACTGAGAGTTAGGGACTCTTGAACGGCCAACTCATCGGACCGTTCTGAAAGCAGCCTACTATCTTTTGGAGTGAGGAAGTTCCTAGCTACTATCGTAGCTGTTGTTGCGTCCTTCATCACAGAATCTTCACCTGTCAAAGGGCCATTAGAAGATAAGAAAGAAGGGCACCATACATTTACCTGACGCGGCGCACTCGGATCACTGCTGAGACTCAAATCTAAGCAAATGTTAGACGGGTTAGCCATTGTCAAAAGGTTAAAAGAGAAAGGTGGATGAAGTAAAATCAGAAAGGGCCGAAGACGATTTTCACAAACGGGCGATCTTCAAAGTGTGCATGTTGGAGGTAATCAATACCTCTATAAAAAGCCAAGGCGACACGACCACCGATTCAAAAAATCGGATTTTCCTGCGTGAAGTTCGGCGACGCTTTCGCGGCTTTTCAGATAACGCGTTCAACTTTGTCAAAAGATCTCTGACAAAGTTGAAAACACGTGAAGGTTATCATCCCAACTACGCGCCTTTGCCAACAAGCGTGGTGACAGAGCCGCACCCGTGACTACTTTTTCGAAGAGGCGCTCGCTCAGAAATCGAAGAGACGCTTGTTAAAAAAATCGAAGAGACGTTTGTCGACAAGGGTAAAAGAACATAACCACCACTTGCTATTGGGAAATCCCTATATATGTCGACCTTCATCTTTTATGGCAAGGCAGACCTGAAAAAAAAAAAAATGCCCAACTCTTCCTCACCTCTGAGGGCGCACTCCCAGCAAAGCCTTTCGAAATACTCAATTTTTTCTTCTTTCCCAAAGAAGATACCAGATGCCTGGAGTACAGATGACCTAGGAGGAAACGGTAGATTGAAGTATGTGGAGACAAGCACAACAAATACATGTGCTGATCCATTCGCCGCTTCTTCAAAAGCAAAGGTATCTCATATCATCAAGGTCGAAAGCAAAGGTATCTCATATCATGCTTTTTCCTTGTCTTTCCTTTGTCCTTGTTCTTACTCGCATAGCAAAGTGAAAGAAGCAATCAGCCGGCACTTGGAGTCAGTCTTCCGATCTGGAACCGACTGCCTGGAATCTATTCCCTGGTTGCTTACCTAGCGTTGCTCTCGAGTAGTCATCTTCAACGGTTGATACACTTCCAGAGAAGGGACCACTTCTGCAAAGGGGAGCAAGTAAGGCAAGTGAAAATGATACATTAAAGCATGTGGAGACAAGCAACAACTGCATATGCTGAGCTATCCTCTAACCCTCTTCAATACGAATTGGAGAGATTGAACAAAGAAACAGAAAAAAGGAGTAAAGCTCAGACCTTCGGGGGAGACCAAAAGAATCCTGCTGCCCAGTTCAAGAGTAGCACAAAGGAAAATCAACGATTGGAGGAAACCAGAAAATCTTCCAGTCGAACTCAAGATCAAGCCTCGATGGCCCTTGAAGAAATTTCCTGCTGCCCAGTTCAAGAGTAGCACAAAGGAAAATCAACGATTGGAGGAAACCAGAAAATCTTCCAGTCGAACTCAAGATCAAGCCTCGATGGCCCTTGAAGAAATTTCCTGCAGCCCAGTTCAAAAGTAGCACAAAGGAAAATCAACGATTGGAGGAAACCAGAAAATCTTCCAGTCGAACTCAAGATCAAGCCTCAATGGCCCTTGAAGAAATTTCCAGCCCAGTTCAAGATTAAGCCTGTGGAAAATCAACGATTGGAGGAAACCAAAAAATCTTCCAGTCAAACTCAAGATCAAGCCTCAATGGCCCTTGAAGAAATTTCCAGCCCAATTCAAGATCAAGCCTCGACGGCCCTTGGGTTGACATCTACATTAAGGGACTTCAAAACGCATCTTCTACACGTGACAAGCACATGTCTACGACACGCCTTGAAGTGGGGGCATTTGTAGACATCGAAATTTCAGTAAAAACAAATGCTCACCAACGCATTAAAGTTTTGACGTGTCAAGGCATACATGACATACGCCACGTGTTGTACAAATTGTACACATGGCATATGACTCAACAAAATAGGAAGAAATACCCTTGGATGATTAAACAAGTTTTTTCTTCTCAATTTGGGCAATGACAAGGTAAGCACATTTCAATCCATTGAGGATCAAAACAAGTTTTTTCTTCTCATGTTGGGCAATGACAAGGCAAGCACACTTCAATCCATTACGGATCAAAGTAAGTTTTTCTCATTTGGGCAATGACAAAGCATACACATTTCAAGTTTAAAATGGTGTTAAGTGGGAAATTAGGCCATAAGTTAGACCACTTCAAGTTTAAAATGGTATTAAGTGGGAAATTAGGCCATAAGTTACACCACTTCAATTTCAATATTGCATTAAGTGGGAAAATTAGGCAATGGTGCTTGGAAAGGAAAAAAAATATTTTGTGGTGGTGATTCATTCTCAAAGCCTATAAATAGGCTTCTCCATCAAGGTATCAAGCATCAAGGAATTCACAAATACATTTCTCTACTCCCAAATTGGAAGAGAATTCCCCAAATCCTTGAAGCTTTGAAACTCCAAAGCTCTCGAGCATCCAAATTCCCAAGAATTCCGAAGGATCAAGAAAGCACTCTTCGTTCTTCGTCAAATCCTCCTTCAAGATCAAGCCCCAACGGCCCTTGAAGAACTTCCACCAACTCAAGATCAAGCCCCGACGGCCCTTGAAGAAAGTGTTCATTGTTCATCAACTGTTCATCCTAAGATCAAGCCCTAACGGCCCTTTGGATCAACAACCTCAACAAATCCACACATCCAATCGTTCTTCAAGATTAAGCTCAAAAGCCCTTGAAGATCCGCTCATCCATCAACCTTCAAGATCAAGCCCAAAAGCCCTTGAAGAAATCCACACAACCATTATTCAAGATCAAGCCCCGACGGCCCTTGAAGAAAGTGTTCATCCGTTCATCAACTGTTCATCCTTAGATCAAGCCCCGAAGGCCCTTTTGGATCAACAACTCATCCACAAACCTACACCCTACGAAGATAGAATCAGAGGACCAAATTTGAGAGAGATCGTAACCCCAAAATCATAAACACAAAAATATTATTTTGTACACGTTATTCTGGTTTCTTGTTTCAAAGGAATCTTTCGTGTTCACAGGTACACTAAGTATTACTATACAAATGATTGGATATACGTGTTAAAAAGTTAATAAATTAAAAAATAAAATTTATCACCACTTACATAAAAACACTTGGTGTCCTATCCGTGTTTCCGTCATAATAAAAAATTTCTCCTCTCCAACCATTGATGGTTGCTTGAAGTTGAAAAGTTAGAAAGATTTTCTGTATACGAGAATGGTATATCACGTATTACTATATAAATGATAAAATATATATATTAAAAAGTTAATAATTTAAAATTTAAAATTTCTCACCATTTATATAAAAATAGATGATATATTCCGTATTTGGATCGTAATGAAAAATTTCTGGAAAGTTAGTACAAATATTACAAAATGTTAGGTGAAGGCGAATGCGAACCATGAATTTGATGTAACTTTTGACCAAAGCGCCTTTAAAAATCACACAATGCCGCCCACCGCGAACAAACACACAATCGGACAAATCTAGAGAGAGAAAGAGAAGAGTGACTGAGAGACTGAGAGGAGTCTGAGAGAGCAAAGCAGAGGCAGCCATTAGCTTATCTTCTACCTCCTTCAACCTCCAGCTCTCAATCTCTCCGTCAAAACCCTTGAAAAAATGGACACCAATCGCCAAATCCCAGAAAACACAGAATCCAAATCGCCTGAGGAACAAAACCCACTTGCCATTGTGCCTTCCGCCGCCGGGCTTCCTCCCTTCGCCACCGCCTCGCTCTCACTTTCTCTCTTTACAATTCTCCCCACCCACTTCTTCCAACAACCCAAGGTTTCCACCTTGTTTTCTTCCCAGACCACCAAGGTCAAGGTCCCCACGCAGGCCTCGTCCCTGGCCCACCTCTCTCTCTCCACCACCGCCAATGTAACTCCGCCCAAGCTCTCCTTCAAGTCCACCATTGCCGCCAACCCCCTGCAGAGCCCTCTCTCTCTGGGTCCGCGCCGCCCCCTCGACCCCTCCAATGGGGCCGCAATCCGTCGAGCTTCCATCGTCTGGTTCCGAAACGATTTACGCGTCCACGACAACGAGTGCCTCAACTCGGCTAACAACGAGTCCGTATCGGTCTTGCCCGTCTACTGTTTCGATCCGAGGGACTACGGAAAATCCTCTTCTGGGTTCGATAAGACCGGCCCGTACCGGGCGACGTTCTTGGTCGAATCGGTGGCGGACCTCCGGAAGAATCTCCAGGCGAGAGGGTCCGATCTGGTAGTCAGAATCGGGAAGCCCGAGACTGTTTTGGTGGAGCTGGCAAAGGCGATAGGCGCCGACGCCATTTATGCGCACAGAGAGGTTTCGCGCGACGAAGTTAAGGAGGAGGAGAAGATCGAGGCGGCAATGAAGGAGGAGAATGTGGAGGTTAAGTACTTTTGGGGAAGCACTCTGTACCACGCAGAGGATTTGCCGTTTAAGTTGGAGGATATGCCGACGAAATACGGCGATTTCAGAGAGAAGGTGAAGGGATTGGAGGTGAGGAAGACGATTGAAGCTTTGGATCAGATGAAGGGTCTGCCTTCTCGCGGCGACGTGGAGCCCGGTGATGTTCCAACATTGATGGATTTGGGGCTTAATCCGTCTGCTACTACGTCTCAGGTATGTGTTTTCGGTTTCGGATCTTTTGTATGAATTTATGTTTAAGTTGATCATTTAGTTTTCGTGAAATGTGATTAGAGATAGTTGTGTTTGACAATTTATGATGTCAGTGATTGTGAACTAGCATCCTTTCGTAGCGGGACAGTGGAAATGATGAACAAGTTTGGTATGAAAAGATTGAGCCTGAGTTGTTTCTAGCAAACGGTTGAACGAGGGATTGATTGAGAAATGAGTGTGAAAAGAGTAGTATCGAACAAACCTGTCATAGTTCGATAATGCTCCTCCTTTTCGAACAAATCTGTCATAGTTTTAACTTTTAAGCATGAGTTTGAGATTTCTAGTATAGAATCCTTAGATATGATTATGTTTTGAGAGTGTACGATGTCGAGGTTGCAAATTAATTAGAAATGAGCAATCTTTCGCAGCAGGACAATGGCAGTGATGAACAATTTTATGGAACTATAAAGCCTTTCGTGGGATCTTAGTATGGAAAGATTAAGCTAGAATTATTTATAGCAATCATTGTACAAGGGAACGAATAAAAAAAAGAAATTTTTCGGTTTTAGGCCTGAAAAGAGTAGTATCGATCAAATTTGTCAAAAATGTATTCATCTTTTTCGGCTCTTGCTTCTTCTGTAAATTTGTATAGCTTGAGCCTTGAACGGTTGTGAATGGGACAGTTGTAACTTTTTTTAGCTAGCAGTTCGATCTTTGTCCATAGCTTGTCAGCTCAAAACAGTTTCAAAGAACAAACATATTGCCATTTATTGGAAACTTTTAGTTTCGGAATTCATTATTTCTAATAGAGTTATTTGACATGTCCCTAAAGAAAGTGACAATATTTTCATCCATTGTCTTGTAGGATGGAAGGCCTGCTGCCATTGCTTCCATGGTGGGAGGGGAGACTGAAGCCCTAGAAAGGCTCAAAAAGTATGCTGCTGAGTGCCAAGCACAGCCACCCAAGGCGAGCAAAGATGGAAAGCATGATAGCATCTGTGGTGCCAACTTTTCGTGCAAAGTCTCTCCATGGTTGGTCTTGGGATGCCTCTCTCCTCGCAGTATGTTTGATGAGCTAAAGAAAACTTCTAGCAGGTGTGCGAATGCCTCTCTTTTGAATAATGGTATAGTTTCTAAAATTTATATTCGATATTTACTCTACTCACTACCAAATGAAATTTTACGATTGATAGAACTATATCTGCTTCCTCAAACCGCAATGATGACAGTGGCAGTGGAATGAACTGGTTGATGTTTGAGTTACTTTGGAGGGATTTCTTCAGGTAAATAGACTGACCATGAAAGCTCAAATCACATGAAAACTATTATTTCATCTTGTCTTCCATATCTTCAAATCTACCGTCACCTGATTGGCTCTTACACATTCTGTATGCAGATTTGTCACTTGCAGTTCCACAAAGAAACAACTCAATGCTGCTCCAGCCACCGCATGTACGGGTGCCCTTGCTTAAGAAGAACTTAAAATTGGATGACGAAATGGTGAGATATGGTGTATTTTCATCTCGTTGTAAGTTTCCAAGATGTAGCAGTTAGATGTTGTAATAGGGTTCGTGTGAAAGAGTTATTCCTTGTTGAAACTTGGTTTTCATTACCAAATAAGATGGTTGAGAATGTGAAGATTTGCCTCCCTCATTCTTCATATGTTGTCTTGGGAATAACAGATATCCTCTACTTGTGCTTTTGTACTCATCGACCAATGTCGGTCGGCACCTGTAAAACTCAAAGCCTCATTCGATAATTATTTCGTTTTTAGTTATTGATTTTTAACTCTTGTGCTTGAGATATAAGGAAGGTTTAATGAGGAAAATGGAGGGACGTAGAAGAGTGGTGCGGAAGGGGAAGAATATAAAGAGAATGAATGAAGAGAAAAGGAAACCCAACATTGGCGTTTTTCACAAAAGCTGTATGTCACGATTTTAATCGGTCTTTAAAAAAATCTATAAAAATTATTAGAGAAAAGTGTACCAATTGCTTCTCAATTTTAATTGAATTGGGTAATGATCTTTCAACTAAAAATTTATGACTATTGATCTCTTAACTCATCAAAATGATGCAGCTATGGTCATTTTGTCAACTCTGTAAGAACTACCGTTCAAATGAGTCACGTGTCCCAAACATGATGCAGAATCAAAGGACAAGTATAGAAAACAAATGAGAAACTTGTAGCAACGGTCTCTCAACTTTAATCCGAATGTAGCAATAGTTCTGCCATCATATCTCATTCTGACTGTTCTGACTTGATCGACGAAAATGACTATAATTGCATCTTTTAATGAGTTAAATGATCAATAATCACGAACTTTCAGTACACCACTAAACAGGAGAATAGTTATTAAATAGACAAGATGAGATTATATGAACCAATTCATCCCAACAATTAGTCGAAAAGCGAAATCAATGGTATGTATGAAATTCAAACGTGGGACTACTTCGGAATAATTGGAAGATGAAAATATGGAAAGGAGGTTTGACAAGAATCATATCCGGTGGAATGGACAGACAGGACAACTAGTAGTTAGGCGTAATCCGTATGGATTGACATCTCGGGGGACGTCACAGACTAGACATTTATCTTATCTTAATGGACATTAGAAATGATTCAAACCGGTTTTCATTTATCTTATCTTGATCACAATCTAGAGTCAGCAAGCCTAGGTCAGTCATTATATGGTGTTCATTTTGTTCAAATCTTCTAATATGCTGATAAAGATACCATGACAACATGTATTTTGTGATAATATTTTGAAAGGCGAAGGTGTTTTGTAAATAGTTTTGCCTAGGCGATAGCCTACTTAAAATTCATCCGACAAGCATACCAAGCAACAAAATATTTGGTTATTATTATTATTTCTCTAATTCATATCATAAAGTCGAAATAGATTAAAGATGTTGCAAACTTGCTATCTCTGCACTATTTTTTACCTTCCACATACTCCTCACAACTTTCGTCCGTTTGATCAAATAAATTGAAAATTATCAAATGATAAAAAATAAAAAAAAATAAAAAATGTGTAGATAACACCCACATAAAATTAGCATGAATTTTATAAAAACCCTGCTCAAAACAACGTCGTTTGGGTTTGGGCTGTACTTTTTTTTCTAAATTCAAACGCCCAGGTCGCTTAAACGCCTGGGGCTATAAGCGTAGGCGCCCGAGACGATAGCCTAGGTGTTTAGGCTATTCTATAGACCACTTCCGCTGGGAGAGGCATATCATAGCCCTGCCCAAAAACCGCCTTGGCTAATCTTAAAACTAGTCTTTTAAACCACTGATATGTGATGAGCTCAATCCCATACTTAATGAAAATAATAATAGTAGCTAAATAAATAATTGTCATACAAAATCGGAGCGTTAGTTAGATAATGACTGATAACCTTTTTATCAAAACAAATGCCCAAGTGCTCTCCCCTGTCAAGCTGTCTGTGTCCTAGTAGTACTCCGACTCCGAGCGTCCAGGAAAACTCAGTACAATCCTTGCGAGCCGAGGCAAGCAGGAAGAAGTCGATCGTCAGCACTCTGTGTCGGGTTTTCCATTGATCCTTCAGCTTTATCCTCGTATCACCATGCCCTCATACAGCCCTCCCCTCAAAGCTTTCTTCGCCTCTTTATTTCCATTGCAGCACACTTTTGTCTCTTTACCAATAGTCTTTACAAGAGCATAGTCCTTCCCTGAAATGGTGAAACCGGTTGCAATCTCTGATCACGATTTCCCGACCAAACTCCTCAGAAATCATTTTCATGGCATCATGACAATCACGGCATATCCTCAGGTTTTTAACAATTCGAATTGGTGTGCCTGGACTTGTCTTCAAAAAGCAGAATGCAATTGCCAATTTTTCGCTGTGGTATGCCAAAGCCAACTCCTTTCCTTCCTCATCTAGTTCAAGTAACACCTCACTTGTATTTCCCACAAAGCCTTTCATTCTCAACCTATTCATAATCTCGTCAAGCATCATGTATATCTCTCGAGTTTCTGGATGCGAATCATCACACGCGAAAAACTCATGAAGAACACCTCCTACCTCAACCAAACTACAACCGGGGACTTTCTTGACCTCTTTTACCTCCATGAGATCTCTCACACGCCTTACTTCACTCCATTTACCCATCTTTGCGTACACATTTGACAAAAGTACATATGCACCACTATTCGTGGGATCCAACTGAATTAGATTCTTCAGTGCAATCTCACTCGTTTCGATGTCCCTATGCATCCTAGAGCCACTCAGCAGAGCCCCCCATACAAGTACATCAGGCTCCATTGGCATGGACTGCACCATCTTCAGTGCCTCTCGAACGAGACCAGCTCTTCCATACAGGTCAACAATACAACCAAAGTGCTGAATCAAAGGCTTAATACCAAACTCCTCATCCATCCTCCTAAAGTACTCCTTCCCTTCACTCACCAAACCTCCATGTACACAAGCACAAAGAACACCCACAAACGTCACAGCATTAGGCCTCACGCCGAGCTTTATCATTTCAGAAAATAATTCAAGGCATTCCGTAGCATGACCATGCATGGCCAGTCCCGAAATCATTGAACTCCATGCCATCACATCCTTGTAAGGACCCATACTATCAAAAACAAATTTTGCTTTCTCAATACTTCCACATTTGGCATACATGTCCACCAACGCAGTTCCTAAGACAACATCAATTTGCATTCCTGATTTGTCAATATAAGCATGAACCCATTTTCCATGCTCAAGTGCACCCAACCGTCCGCAAGCCAATAGCACACTCGACATGGTAAACTCATTAGGTCTCACGCCACCAGCATCCACCTTTTGCATCTCACGAAACAAGGCAAGTGCCTCCTTATAGGCGTCACACACGACGTACCCATTTATCATACAACTCCAAGAGATCACATTTCTCTCAGGCATTTTATCGAACACCTCTCTTGCATCACCAATCAATCCCGCTTTCGAATAGGCATTCATAATCGAATTCCAAGACGGTAAGTCTGGTTGCGTAATTTCATCAAACACTTGACGGGCAAGCGTCAAACTCCCACAGGACGAGTACATATGTATAAGAGAAGTGCCGACAAACGGGTCGTGAGTGAACCCAAAGAGAAAAACTTGGGCGTGGATTTGTTTTCCGGGTCGGATGTGAGGGAGGGAATGGCAGGACTGGAGGAGGAAAGGGAAGGTGCGGTCGTCGGGTTCGACTCCGTGTAAGCGCATGCGGAGGAAGACGGAGAGTGGGGAAGGATGGGATGGGACTGTGGATTGGACATGGGCTCGGATAAGGGTGTTCCAAACGAAGGATTCGGGGGTTGGATGGGAAAGGTGGAGGGTTGGGTGCGTGGAGGATATCAGCTTTGTGTTTGTGCAGGCTCGCATTTCTGGCGCTGCATAGCGGGAAACAATTCAAACCGCTTTAGGGGTTGGCATTCCTCTCTCTCTCTCTCTCTCTTTTTTTTTTTTTTTCTTTTTTTTTTTTTGAATTTTAATGAAACACTCCGGCTAGTATTTATTTTTAACGAAAAATTATATTTTTACCCTTTTTTAGTACTATTCATTACACCTTTATTTGTCATTTTTAATTAAAACTAAAGTTTTTATAGATTGTTCGTTAGTTTTTCTTTTTTTATTTTATTTATTTTTTTATACCCACGCTGAAATTAAATTAATTTACCGACCTATGCCGGTTTTGAGTACATGTATCTTTTTGTTGAAGGTTGTTCAAACTTTTCCTAAGAATATGACATAGGTTAGTTCAGCACCATGACGCCTGGTACTAAGTGAAATTCAAACTTTGATGCATATAATAAAGCATATTGATCAACTAACTAGGCTAATGGGTTACTTAAATACCATGGCGCCTGGTAGTAAGTGAAATTCAGACGTCAACTCGGCTAAGCTCAATTGTATGAAGGGTAATTCTTTAAAGATTTTGATCTTATTTATTGACATGATCGGTTATTTAGAGTATATAATGATGCTTCAGAGTTTCCGTTTTGGGTTTTAAGTATCGAAATATTTGATGCTAAAAACCTAATTTTGTGGAATTAATAAATCCATAGAGATTAAGAACCTAAAGTCTAAGGCTCTTGATTAGCTTTAACTCCTCGCATTCTCTAACGCATCCCTTCTTCTCCGATGCAGGCCTGCAACTCGGAACTAAATTTCCGGAGATTAACAAGTATCGATGGCACAGTTGCCTTCGCATGTGCAAAGAGGAAAGGGACGGTGAAGTTCAACGAAGGTGAAAATTTTCGAGGAAATACGTACTGCACCAGGCACATAGATAACATAATAACCAGATTCGAAGTTCCAAACCGATGTCTCAAAAGAAGCTTAATTTCATAGGAGGTATCAATCACGAAAAAAGCTGAAACAGAAGTTGATAGATAAGACAGATTAACTAAGCTCAACCGGTAATGCCACAAAACAGGAGACAAAGCTTTTAGTCTTCCTCCTCACCCTCGTTCTCGGCAATGTTGAAGTATCTCAATTCATAAACATTGCGGTCCTTGTTGGATGCAATCACGCGAAGCCAATCCCTCACGTTGTGCTTCTTCAAGTACTTCTTCGTCAAGTACTTAAGATACCTGAGATACAAGTGATACAGAGGTTCGACACAAACGAAAACAGAAGACAATTACTGCTCAACAATCGACATAAATATCCATTTTTTTTAAATGAAACCATTACTCGTCAAGATTTAAGAATTTCACACACTTTGTGCTGAACTTCAACTAACATTCATAAAAATGCAACTATAACTCCGAGTTATGAAGACAATAAACGACTGAAAACTATGCGCAAAGCACCCGGTATCAAAGATTTCCAAAGATGGAAACACGCGTACCATAATAGCATGTAATCCTTACACACATTCGAAGTGATATGACGATTATAAGTTATACACAAAGCATGACAAATGAAAGATAACCAGCCGAACAACAGCAATACCACATTATCAAGTTTCTAATTGTAACTAATACTAATTAAACTGCAAAATCCTACTTAATCAAAGGAGCTCAGCTGCAAATTTAAATTCATGGAATTTACAATAATCCAAATATTTGAGCCATGGTAAAGTTTAAAACTTTCAATTTATATAATAATCAACACCCTAGAAGAAGCATATAAAATGCAAGAATATGAGGTTTAAATCATTGGGTTTTAGTCAAAATTCAGATCTGCAAATGGGTATAAAGCAAAATGGTATGTGCAGATAAATAAATAAATAAAAGTGGAAAGTGTGTGTTGGTACCTTTTGGAGAAGTTGGAGTCGGAGGTGACGGTTATCTTGTTCTTCTCACGAGAGACGGTGACGGAGTCGCCGAGAGCACCGGCCTTGCCGCCGACCTTGATGCGCTCCTGGAGGAACTTCTCCAGTGAGGCGATGTCCATGATCTTATCCTCCACCGGCTTCGCGCAGTCTATCACGAATGAAGCTCCCTTCTTCTTCCCTCCCTTCGTCCCTGCTGCCGCCCCACGACTCATCTTCGCCTCTGTGTGCACACTTCTGCGTGTGTGTGGGAGCTGCTTCTGTTAGCTCTCGGTATAATAAAAGAGTGCTAGGGTTTTGGATTCGCGGGTTCTTATTTTATCTTTCAGGTACGGGCCCGAAGGCCCAGCATAAAGCTGACTGCAAACATGTCTAAGCCTGCCTAACCCAACCCACTCATTTCTAAACCGAATGAGACTAACTAGGCTCGCTTGGATGTATTTTTAAAATGACTGAAAATACTTTTAAAGAAAATACTTTTAGATTTCAAAAGCATTTTAAGTGCTTTCTGCAAGAAGCACCAATTATGTGCTTCTTCCAGGAAGCACTTTAAATGTTTTCCAGAATTTACTTGTATTTTTTCTAAGGATTGGTTCCAAAAACATTTTCACCAAAAACGTTTTCAGTTATTTTAAATGTAAATCCAAACGAGAAGGATTGAGATTTTGAAATTGTATCAATTTATTTCTTTTAAAATTTGGACTGTTTGTTGTTTTATAACTTGTTGACAAGGCATTTGTGGGACTTGTTAGTACGCTAATCTTCAAGCCAAACTTGTACCACAACGTTTCATAGTTCTAAATCGCACAAATCGAACTCATTCCTGCTAATAATCACAGAGCTCCAAATTATCCTAAACAATATTGATGTCTTTCAAATTGCAAGTGTGGCTTTTCATTGTCCCAAACAAAATCTATAAATTGATTTGATTTCATAACTTCAAGTACAATTTCAGAAAAGATAAAATCCCAAGCTCTATTCTGGCAACCACCCAACTCAAAGGAATGAATTATCTGTACTTTTCTAGACGTCATGGTGACAACATATATTAATAATACTACACTATGCATTTTTAATTTTATTTGACACGTGTTTTAAATTTTTCACGTAACATCGCATGATTGAGTTGAAATATCATCTTATTGACATCCACTTTTAAATGTTTAATGATGCAAGTCATTTATAAAATAAAATGAATTAGCTCACGTTGTCGTTTTAGTGGATCATTTCTCGTTCCACGTTTCGTTTCTTATCGGATTGCTAATGAATTTACCATCCGCGATGTTGTTTCAGTACCTGAGTAACTGAATTTGATTGGGTAAAGTGGGAGCGGAACTGAGAGATAGAAGGAGAGTCGTACGACGTCGTGCCCTGCTCCTCCGTCACCTTCAATTCTATCCTCCGCATCGGAATGGTAATCCCAACCACTTCCGAACCCGAATGTTAACCAATCTACTCCAATTGTTATTTCTCCTAATTCCTTCCTTCTAAAATCTGTTAACCCTAAAAATTACAAAGCCTACGTGGCGCGCAGGCCGAGTAACTAATAAGCTAACTACGTCATTCGGTTGATGCGGGGCGTGCCAACTCGTCAGCCAAGCTTGGCCAAGGAGTAAAATTTGTTGATGTTGCGTTGAGCGCGTTGCTGACTGCTTGATCTTGCGACTGCAGTCGAGGAAGGAACAAGTCTCGACCTTTGGGTTCTCGAGCCTAAAGACAAGGTTGCTTGTTCTGTGAAGTTCACGAATAGTCGGCTCCGGATTCGGTCACAGTGATTATATTCGTAAAAGTATAAGCATGTCGAGTCGACACCAGACTATATGGATACAAGTACTCAAAGGAGATGTATGTATTGATGGTAGATGTGGTTCGGTCGTCAGAATGTCGAACTCTGAAAGTCACTGTGAGTATCCAATCATAAAACCACTCGTCGTTCAATGCGCCGAATGTAGTAACTTGTAACACCTTACTTCGCCGGGAAGACTAACAAGATGACCTCTGCCAATAAGGATTCGGAAACCCTTCTTGACCGAGACTTGGATAGGTAACCAATCGGCCTTGACTCAGTGCTGTTTATCCAAACTGAAGGTGCTCATCGGTCGGATGATTCTACGACAACATTGTTGTTTATCCAAACTGAAGGTGTTCGCCGGTTGCCTTCACAGTGCTGTTTATTCAAACTACAGATGTGTTAGCGGAAAAAGAAAATAAAAAAAATCTCAAGATGTTTGAGAGCTTTGCGCAGGATAATTGTGTGTTGAATTGGAGGTCCTCTTTGTGTTCCACGACCTTTTGTATTTATACTGGCTTGTATATCTGCTCGCAGCCTGATGGTATTTATAGAATTCAACCGCAACTCAAACTCTTGAAAGGGAGACTGATCCTTATGTCATCTATTCATCGTACGGCTATCCGTCATTTTCAAACAAAATAAAAGCATATATGCGCTTATCACATCACCACCAAAATCCTATCCCCTCTAGGCTTCTCATCAAAATTTCATTTCATGCATGCATCTCACCAGACCATCTTGATCAATTCCAAGCCACGTGCATAACAACATTTATCCATCATCATTATCACCCACTTTTAAATGAATAATAACAATCCAAAAACCCAATCCTATCAGCAACTTCCACGATCTTGGGTAAACAACAAACATTAACCGAAATGATAATGACTATAGCGTGCATGGCTGACCAAATCCAAGCACACGTGGAGGTCATCAATTTCCCTTTTTTTTTTTTACACGGCCAAGCACATGTGGCTGACTCTAATTTGGCATCCTCATCTTTATGAATGCATAATGCATTAATCTCTCTACCAACCAATGCCGCAATGTATTAGGACTCTTGATAAAATACTCTGATGCTCTAATCCACCATACGTCTAAATTCCAAGAACCCCAAATCAAATTGAACTGTACTGCTTACTTTCAAGTTGAAGATATAATTTGCACCTCATCTTGTTCAAGAAAATATCAAGATAATTCATTATTAAAAGATAATATCATGATTAAAACCACAATATATCCTTCAATTATCTTAACAATTCAGTCATCCAACGGTTGATAGCTATGTTCTTCAATGGTATTGATTGCACGAGCCAATAGTGTAAAATCGGGTCCAAACATTCCCCCGGTTTCCTTGAGCTTCGGCTCGTAGGCCGAATGGTTAAGGAAATTAGTCATTTGTGTCT